TTCTCCGATTGTTTCTCCAATCTTTCTTACCTCGAATACGAGTGTTATCGGTTTGAGGGCTCATGCAGATTTAAAATTCTTTTGAAGAGAAATCGTCTCCCAGCGATTCCTTTCCCTCGTGCTCGTTGTTGCATATCCCACGCTCGCACAGTTTCGCCGCTAGGGATTCCGATCGGCTTATTTTGCTGGTCTGGACGCACGTAGAGACCAGTAGGATATCGTTTCTGTTGTCCTGCGGATATCCTTTCCATTGCTTTTATCTCACGTGTCCGCACTTTTTCTACCTTTATCTTCCATTTTTCTCGTACGCATATAGAGAAATATTTAGATGTCGTACATGACGATGTTTATCAACGTGATCAGAAACACAGCACAGCTTCCTGTGTTTTTATCGAAAAGGAAGTACAGTTTTTCAGTCTTAACTGATACGCTAGAAAAAAATCGAGTTGCAGAATACATTTAAACGCTTTTAACAAAAATTCAAAATTCTATTTACAGCCATTAGCGATCGATATTTGATTAATCCGTCGAATGCATTTCGCGATGGATTTTACCTGCCGTAAAAATTATTCAATGGTAAATCTGCGATATGGGCTCTTATAGGTCAGTCAATGTGTTCAACGCCATGAAAATATGAAATTGTTGTAACATAAACATGGTATTGTTACCGAATCAAAATGGAGAGATGAATAAACATAGAAGAAGCCATATGCGTGAAGGGCATAATATGTGTTATTTCGCTTTTAACTGTGAGAAAGGAAGTTTATGTTTAGACAGTGAACGATAAAATGTGACTTGAATGAAAAACGGAATAATCATTGTGCCTATCTATAAATCCACATTTCTCGCTTCAGAAATATACGTTGACATATATGCACGCTGCCGATGCTATCGAACGTTGATTGACACCTCTTTCCTCCACCAAGTATTTCCCAGACGTTTCTCACCTTCCTATCCTAAGCAATTCGTTTAACGACGGACAAAGAGTCCAACTATTGTGCTCTCGTTTCGTGTCGGCGGTGGACTCATAGACTGGTAGCGAAAATAGAACCTAACCCAAATAAACAGTGACACGCGAGGTCGATGTTATCCTCAGTAGCAGCTCGGTCTAACTTTGATTAACACGAAAGAGCGATGGCGCTTATGACGAAATTTACGAAAGCAAACTTTTAGAAATGACAAATATACTCTTTTTATGTCTACTCTATTTCGTTTGGTCACGGATTAGGTATACACAACTAGTGTTGTCTATCGACATTCTAAACCGAGAGAAGAAGAGGTGAATTGAATAATTTTGTTCTCATATCTCTTGGCTCTTTACGACTCTTTATATACGTAAACACATTTTTATTAAATCGGGAAAGGAAACGCTTTCATTTCGGATAATATTGCAGAATTATGTCTTCAGTTAGTTCTGTTATTTATGCACAGCTATATTCGATACAAACGATGTAATATGTAGATACGTGAAGAAGGAAACGAGAAGCTTATATTTTATGTAGTCCAAGAAATATTTCAGTCTCGAACCGTAACACGCGGTACGGCGTGTGTCAGTTGTTTCTGCAATTTCATTCAGAGAGCTCATTTAATTTCGCTGCTATTTTAAAGCTTTTTATTTTCATTCTACTCTACAGTAAATTAAATCCACCTTCCGCAGTTTTGTACGTTTTCTTTATATCGCGATCATTCTTTCTTACCATTTAGTTATGTTGATTCTTTATTTATGCCCAACATTAGCAGCAGACTTTACTTCCCAGATCACGGAGCAGTTTATTTCGCAGCAAAATAAATTCTGCACTTATCTCTCTCTTTTTTTTTTTCCTATTGTTGAGATACCACGACAGGAGAGATGCCACACTTATGCTGCTTACAGTATATTTACTGCCAGATCGTAAAGGAAAGAAAAAGAAGGTTTTTCAGACCGATACATCGGCCTGAGCATTTTAGAGACGAGAAGTAGTAAACTCTTTTACGGAAAAGTGTCTCCGATAGTAACGACCACTAAAAAGCGACCATGCCACTTTGCTACGTACGGTTCTGGCAGAGCCAGGCTACTCTCTCACTAACGTTTCTCCAGAGCACACACTGCTTTCGCACGTGTGTCTATTCGAGACAATGTTCCCTCCACTCACTCAGAAATAGAAGGCCTCTCGCGCCGTCTGAGTAAGATAGTATGATCTGCGAAGTCCTCTTACTTTATACCGGCTGAGAAGATATCTTCGCAATATCGTGAGATTGTTCCTCGCGGATATCTCGATTCTAATCTATGTTTACAAAAAGTTAAATTACTCCTATCTTCAGTATAATCTCGTCGTAAATCTCATCTGAAACGCGCACTTTTATTCTGTAAGATAAAAATCCACCAAGTTGCGAGTTTCACTGTGTCCGTTAACAATTAACAACGCGATTAGCTAGACATTATTAAAATGTACGTTTCACACACAAGTTATATTGTGTTTATTAATATCGTCTCAACAGCACAATGAACTAAACTTCATCAAAAAATGTATACATTATAAATTTCTCTCTCTCTCTCTCTCTCTCTCTCTCTCTCTCTCTCTTTCCGAGCGATGGTATTCATAAGACGAATGGATGCAATTTTTCGTGAGTATAGCGACGCTCATTCTTGGTGATGAAAAGCTGCTGGCTTAACTGCACTTTTCCCGTCATAACGTCCGTCGATGCATCGCCATTCGATGCATCCGTCGCAGCTCATCTTTACGGCTCGCACGATACGGTTACGGTCGAAACGCGACGTTAAAACGTGCATGCACCTTTCTCCGCCTATGAATAGCAAACGTCTCTGGCGCGCCCGAAAAGAGCGTGACACACGCGAGCGAGCTTCTTCGCCCGGAGCTTTTCACGTCCCGTTCCCGAATCTCTCTCTCTCTCGAGATGTGCCCGTGGCGGGGTCTTTTCATCGTTATCCCACCAGGCTTCGATCTTTTCGAATGCAGCTCTCGATTCTCCGATAAGAGCAGACAACTTTGCACAATCTGCGAGATTGCGTGCACACGGTGACAGCCAACTTTTCCACGCGAGGCGATGCGTTGCGCATAATACAACGGTAGTACCGCGCGTGTCCACTTATCTGCGTTCGATCGCTTGTCATGTCAGCAATATAATCATTCCGTACAGTAGGCTCGACGTGTGAAAATGATGGATAATATTAGATGACTATCGTAACATCGATTCTTGCACTGATTCGTTTTTTTTTTTGTGAATTTCTAGACTGATACTATTTTCTACGATGAAAAAAGGATCCATTTGGGGGGTAATGAGTATCAAATAGCTAACACGTCGAGATCATGAGCGTTATCATCGTTACTTTCGTATGTGTAAATCTACATACCGTTCCAACATCGTTACAAGCACACCACCGCGTCGCGTAACTGAAAGTTCCTAATTTCCTAATTTAATACAAAGTTAATAAAGCCCCGGGACGCACGTATTTTCCGATTACTTACCGTCGGGTTACTTGCAAGAACGTGTTTTAGATACAACTAAACTGTGGATCGTAGATCTAACGAGCACGCAAATTTATAATTATTCTCTTAATTCCCAAATTGATCGTATTTCTGCATATACAGTGAGAGCAAAAAGCTATTCGTAGTATTTCGCACAAGGAAATTTGTTATAAAAAAGCCTTATTTGTAGAAAATAAACATTAATTAGCAATTTTATACAATGAACACATTCTATTCTTACACAAACAAACGAGCTTCGTATATATTTCTGATTTTAGAAGCTAAATTTCTCGTCTGTACGAATACTTTTTGAGCATTCAAACAATACAATTTTTAATTTTCGCTTATTTTTTAGATGATATCTTTTGTATAATTAATGCACATCTTTTTGGTATATAATTTTAAGAAACATACAGTCTATTTTATTCTTTACGAATAAATTGTTAATTATCCAACGATCGTCAATTAGACGTCAAATTGATGTTGAAATCATTGTATTTATATCGATTCGACATCAATTCGATGACTCATTTCTCGCTGGATAATATTTACTTTTTAAAAATAAAGTTTTTTTAAAAAATATTTTTTTTGTACGAATACTTTTTGCACTCACTGCATTATCTTATATAATGCTATTCTTATGTAATGCTATTTTATTAGTAAGATAAATAAATTGTAGAGTACCTATATTTTAGAAATTCGAATTATATTTGCAATATCCGATTATTTCTATTTGTATTTAATGTATGTAGTTATATTTAAAAAATTGTATAAATTTTTTAATTTATTTTTTTATGTTAAATAATATTTTATCACACATAGCCTAAAAATATATTATATTATTAATAAAATTAGCAAGATGTCAATAAAATCTTTGATTTATTCGTGATTCTAGAAAACGTATTTAACGAATTGTTTCGAAATTGCTTCAAGTCTGCCAAACGAATTATTGAATAAATAAAGAAATGGAAGATGTTTGACTAAATATTTCGTGGATATTCGTATATATCGTTATTATGTCAGTTTTGATACTTCAGAACTTTGAATAATTGATAACAAGAAGGTATAGAATTTATTTTATTGCTTGTCCCAATTATCTTAGCATGTCAAAAATTAAATAATATTCTGCAGCGGCTGTAATTCAGAATTTTATTAAAACAAGCAGGATTGTAACTCCGCATTTTTAAATGATTAATTGCATACACTATAAAAATTATATAAATTGTTATCTTAAATAAAATAATCCAATATAAAATGAAAATATCCCCAATACTTGCCGCTTAATGCATAATTTTAATATATATTATAATAAAATATATATATATGTTTAGTCTAAGTTTAAACTAATTATTAAACGAGCTTAAGTGAAAGTTTTAATTTTGAATGAGCACGTGAGTGCTCTTTTTGAAAAGATAGTTCGTAAGTAGATTAGACTTGTCTGAATTGGAACCTTTTAATATTTGATAAGACTTTAGCCGTTATATACCGAGTTAGATTCTGTTCATTAATATGTCCACTTTTTTATGATTGCAGGTCCAAGAATGCGGTGACGTTGAGAAACTGCTTAATCCGAAAATACATATCGTAATGCACATATACAAGTATTAGTTAAAATATAAAAAATTATATCCAGCGTCTACAACACTAATTCATATTGATGGAAAACCATTTCGCCATTCTACATTGGCATAACGGAGAACCAAATGCGACATATCGATTGATAAACGTATAACATTACATTATTAAAACTCTGCCTTGTTTAAAAACTGGTAGACATTTGCAACTATATCTAGTGCAAAATTAGTTTTGCACAATTTAGAGAGATCTATCCTATCTCACATCTATCGCAACAGTATCGAGAGAGTGATCAATTGTGAAGAACAGTTTCGCTGAAACGGTTGATAAACACATGTACTATGAAAGAAAGGAAAGCTATCGATTTTGCACGTCAATGATTGTCAGTCATTTTGATTAGGATAAAGAATCGTTCTCAGGAGCCGAGGCTCTCGCTGTGAAATTCCTAGCGTGATTGCTCGTGAAAGGAACGCGTCTCCTGCGGACCTCCTCTCTCTCTCTCCACCCGGGCGTTTAATTAGCGTCCTCGATCGCGTAGAAAGGAGGAACTAGCTTAGGTGCCCGGACCTTTCGACGTCACACGGCGAGAGCCGACCGGCGGGAGATCGAAGAGGGGCGAGAGGATGTTGCTGAGGTAACACGACATTTCGAGGCCGCACGAGAAGTACGATAATCGCAGCGCGGGAAGGTGTCGATCGCAGCAGGCGCATAAAGGAAGGATCGAAGAGTGGCGGAAGGATGGGTTTTCCCAGGAGAAGGTCGCTGTGGCTGAAGGTGGCGGTACTAGCAACCGCCGTGTGGGTGACCGTCTGTTTCCTGCTCTATACGGAGGATCGGGCGGCGGCGGCTGCCGTTCAGGGATTGGCACCGTCGGGCGTCGCGATGCCGCAACAAGCGGCCAATGGCTTTGTACCACCCGCGGCGCCGTTTAGAAAAGAGTCGACTGGTAATGCTATTAACAACAGGGCGAAGATCAATCAAGTCGGCCTAAAGCAAGGTAATTCCCCCCCTCCCCCCCCTCTTTTTTTTTATTTATTTAAGTTTGTTGGAAAATTAATTTAATTTGTTGGATTGTTAAGAATGTGTGATGTAAATTAAAATGATCGTTTTGCATGTAGCTGAAGAGAGATAAAGGGTTCACATCTCTTTCTCTCTCTGTGATTAAAATCGTATTCTTTATCGTTTGCCGATGTGACGTAGGTGTATTATGAGTTGCTACATGAATCACGTCTGTTAGGAAACGGCTTAATAGGCAGACACCCTACGCCACGTACACACACACAAACACATACACACGTATGGGTTAGGTGCGAGTTAGGTCTTAATAAGCTGATAGATGTCCCTTTTGGAATGCATGGTCTGTGCATGAATCATACCTGAGAATGTTTGATTACTTCGCAAGCCACCTGTGGCTCAACCTGTGTCCGACATTTCGAGAACATTTTTCAAATAAGGTGGATGAGAGAAAATTTATTACATATCATTACACATTTTCTTCATTGGTTATGACATTTAATAATTACGCGCTATATGTGTAATTTGATTTCTATATAAAGTTCACGAATATAAAATCTATGGATTTTAGTAATTTTTTGTAAAATATCACTAAAAATTGGTACCAATATTTCAAAATTTTTGTCTTATTTTATCATAGATACAAATTATATAGAAATTCTATACAATTAATTCTCCAAAAAGTATCTGTTGGAAATTTAACTTGTTTACGATAAAATCAAACAGAAAGAAAAAAACGGAAAAATAATTTATTTTGACAAAAATGTTAAAAAATTATTTTAACTCGATGCTTATATCGTTTACGCGTCTTGCGTGTCGATCGCATAAGAGAAGCAGGAATAAAGGCAAACCGCACGGACGTAAAGCTATAGGTATATGATTGTACACGCGAAGGATCCTCAAAGACGAAAGTTCTCTCGGGCGATGCCACAGGCGCAATAAGGAATCTTTGGTAGAGTTCACCCGCTGCGTTCATCTCTTATTGCCAGACGCGAAGTACGAATGGGGCTTTCATAATGCATGGATCATCCCGACGATATTGTCGACATTGCATGCTAGCGAACAGCGCGATATATGTATTAGAGAGGAATCTGTAAATGTGTGGATCCTGAACGATGCTTAGTCGTCTCGCCGCGCCGGTTGATGTGCCTCTCGCGAGCTCACATTCGCAGAGAACTTGGCGCGCTCGCACGCCCGGAATGACGTGTTAATGAATTTAAATGCCTTTACGGGCGTGAATGCGTGTTCCGACACTGAGAAGGAACTGGGAAGGAACCGAGAAGGAACTGAGACGACTCTCATCTCGCGCGAACGGAGAGGAAAAGGAGATCTCTCGGCGCGACGGCGCGACGGCGCAGGCCGGATCCTCTCCAAGAAAAGCTCGTAGTGTAACAGCGACGCAGCCGTGATGCACGACGCGAGTTTCACCGCCGAACTTCGTAGCGGCCCGGGTCGCGGCGCTAAAGCAATTTGTCGTCCTCTTTATTGCCGCATCGTACACACCGGGGCCGAACTTTGTTCCCCAGCCAGCCGACCATATCGCAGAGCGTATACTTGCCTCGTTGGCTTTAGCAGCTATGCCGCGGCAATATGGCGCCGGCAAATAAAACTGGAGTTTATGCGAGAAAGCTCTTAGAGGGTGTACCTTCGAGACCCGGCGCGTCGGGGACGTGGATGTGCTGAAAATTCAATTCCCGATGCCCTTTTTCTCCCGCGCGACGCGGCACAGCGCGTCGACTCGTTTCTCCTCGCGCTCCGACGTTAAGCATTATATTCAGACGCTATTCGGACGAAACGAGAAGCGGAATGAAAATTAGCTGAAACTAAACCGGAACGCGACAAAATACGAGTAGGGTCACACTATATTGCTTCATTTACCTTTTTATCTCGTCGATGCGTAAACAGCGTGATAACGTCTTTCTCAATTTATTAACAGTTCTAACTTTAATTAAGAGAGTTCTCTTCGCGATATCAGGTTACACTTATAAATCTTGTTAATCTTTGAAACGTAATAATTTTTTAAACATTGTCATCAATAGGATAATATCGATTCGATATCGCCAGTCTCCTTTTTCCAATTATTGATCCTGAAAATTTATTCGATAAAAATTGTAATTTTGATTCTGAACTGCGCTAGAGATCGAAATGAGATAAAATTAAAACGGAAGCATAATTTTTTAAACAAGATATATCTTTTAAAAGGAATATTCCTGCAAGGAATGTTCAAGCATTATATAACTTTTATTTCTTATTTACACATATATTTCATGACATTTTCGAAGATTGATATATGACAATAGTTTTTATAACATTTTAATAAGGATTCAATAAATTAATGACTAAATATTATAATCTTAATTCTACCTAATTTGACGGTTCGAGATAAATTTAAGAGTATATAATTCACAATTAATAGACGTAATGCATAAAATATTCAATCACGTGCCAACTTTATACAATGTCACTCATCTTTGATGGCTTTTAGATTCTATAGGTGGTGGAGTGTTGGATATACCACGGGAACCGGATACTGCTGCACCCGGTGAGATGGGCAGACCCGTGATATTGCCGGCCAACATGTCCGCGCAGACGAAGAAGCTGGTGGACGATGGCTGGCTCAATAACGCGTTTAATCAGTACGTCAGTGATTTAATCTCTGTGCACAGATCTTTGCCCGATCCACGCGATCAGTGGTGAGTCATATTTATTATATATAATTGTAGTTTGCAATAGCCCGCCTTTTTACGCAAAGTTATATTTGCCGTGTAAAAATGCTCAATTCCTTTTTTTTTATTTTATTTAAAAAGATAATAGCTTATCAACGATGTGTCTCTGCAATAATGGAAGTTTTATCGCAAACTGTCCTGCAAAGGACACGTACGATTTATTACGTTCAGAGACACGATCGGTGGCTCGTTTATCAGCGCGATATTTGCCATCGGAGAAAATGAAAAATATACGCAAAGTAAATGTAAAAAAGAAAAGAAAAACGAGCGTTTAAACGTAACATCTCTGGAGGGTATGTTATATCCGCTATATAAAAAGGGTATGGTACGCTGGTCCCCGAGGCACCGACAGAGTAACAGCCAGCGGCGTTTCGTCGATCGAGACAGATAGGCTGCGGTAATGCGTCGGCGAATCGTGGCCGTAAATGTTCCGTGTCATTTTCCTTTACTGCGGGTACGGTCGCGCGCATCATAACATGGTATAGTCCTTGATAAAACATGACGGGTTAAAGGCCACGACATCACGATCTAGCTATCCTGGATCCTAGCTAGCGATCCTTCCATTCTTTCCTTTCACTTGAGAAAGGAGCACCTCTATAGAACATCTCCGATCCACACGGAAACGAATCGTTCTTTACGAGTATAAGATTCGAGAGTTAGTAGTTTTCTTTGCGAGTACGAGTACCGACGAAAAATCTAGAATCCAAATGCGATGCGAAATACGCTCGCGAAGCAACAGCTGCATCGTAAATTGTACGATATATCATATAGAATCAGTTTCTTTTTAATAGCGAAACCTGTTTTCTGCGTTCGTAACTTGTTGACTTGTTTATCTATAAGTGATCAGACGTCCTTCTTTCTTTTTGAAAAGGACAATCTTATATATTCGATAAATATATTCTTTTCTAAAAATATCTTACACCTTTGAAAGATACATCGTTCTTTATCACTTCATCGTCACTTTGTCGATAAAAATCGACACTTTGTTTTTATTTATCCGGTGTAATAAATATACTCGTATAGGTACATTTATTTATTTACCATAATTGTGAAAGGACGAGAATATACTGCAACTAAAATTGCATTTATTTCCATGGCTGCGAGGTCGTTGCGGACATCGAATGTACCTGTTAATAAAGTTTCTGTTAAATGTCGATATCATATGTACGATCGGAAATTACTTTTCTTTAGTCTTGCGTTCCATCGTACCAAAGTGCAATTTATTCACTTTCAGGCACAACGCGCACGATCACGAAGGATATTAAAAACCGCTTTTGCGGATAACGTTTTATCCGAGGCCGGAGAGAGTGCTCTCTCGCTCTGAGTGAAATACGTAATGCAATGGTGTTGCGAGGAGCATTTCTCGAGTAATATTATAACGCAATGCCTCACGTAATTTGCATCGCGCCATTATTTTAATTACGGTACTAAGTTAAACGCGTTGCTATTATATGTAAACATCTCCCTTAAACGAAGAAGAACAACCACACTAATGCATATGTACTATTGCGTATGTCACTACGTGTACGCTATACGTGCGTCCAAGCTATGCTAATGACCCTCTATTCCGAATTCTTGTTAACGTTGCAAATTATTTTCCGTCTACGTCGCAAATGTAATTTCACGAGGGGAGGGAGGAGAGAGGCGTTCGCGTCCGCGTCCGCTTGCTTGCGCCAAGTACTACGGTACATGTTACGTGTTGTTTAATTAATTGCACTGTGCCTAATTTGTTGCGCGCGAGTTGACCGTAATAGTCTAACGGCGAAAAGAGCGCGCGGGCGATGTAGTTCGGAAATTTAATCATCGGAAAATGCGTTACCGGAAATTAATACATTGCCCCGTCGCCGTGTTCTTACGTCACGTGGGAATTCTGAAACTCCCCGCTGGGAAGTTTTCAATTATATTATTTCATTAAAACAGAACGTTCTTTCGATCACGTTAGAGGATTTTCTTCTCGTAGGCAAATGCGTTTGAAGAACCGCTATTATAAGTTTAATATTTTGTCATATAATATATGAATAACAATACATTTTACCAGAGATATTTTAGAAACATTACATGTTATATACCATTATTTGTGCTGCACTTTTTTACTTACTATTTTTGTCTACTTTTTTTTACTTCTTTATTATTTTAACGTGATTTCACGCTTATGTCTAACTATAAGCAATTACGCCAGTCAAGCAACAAATTGATAATTTTGTGAAAATCCGTCTTGAAGATCGACGTGATTTATTCGAATGAAACCGGTCCGTAGGGCTGTAACTAAACAGTACCTGCGGTACGTCCGAAATATGTTTCGCGGTGACCGTAAATTTTCGCTAAAACTTCGTCCTGGCGGCGGCAACGGCGTCGGGCCGACCGCGGTAGCGAATTAACCCCATGAATATTAATTACAATTTACATGATATTAACCGACATTATCAGGACAGGTGGGCAAACTTCGTGGGTGCCTGTTGTTACTGACACACCGCGAGTCGCGTCCGTAACTAACGGCTTGGATAAAGGTGCCACCACACCAGCGCAAGTGTGCTATACGATGTGCTTACGAACAGGTGTCCTTGATTTAGAGTAACGAAGATTGTTCAGAGAGAAAATCCGTAGATAATCGTCACATAGTATCATACGAAACGAAATTATCTCGAATGGTAAAAACGTTTGAATAAATAGGGTAACTCTGCCGCGGCAAATATGCCGCGCTGAGATTTACGCCGCAAAAGTCAGAAAAAATAGAAGGAGTAGGGGTAATTTCCCCGCAACTACTCTGTTACATGCCTTTATGTTATATTGTGTTATGATTTCAGTTTCTTGCTGTTAATATTAATGAAATTATTGTGAGTTGAATCGATTTGTCACTGTGTTAAGTAGCGCCATCATAAATTATGATCTACATAAAATGATTACTGTAGAACGTGCAAAAGACTTAGTGCTTATTTCATGATACATGAGTGTAGAGGAATAGTAAAGCGTGTTGTATAACAAATACAATAAAGGCATTACATGAAATATGTACCTCATGTTATAACACTTGTAATACATCTGGGGAGGTTGTAATTATTATTTATTACTTCATATACATATTTATATCATTCTGATTCCTTAATAAAACTTTATAAACGCATTTTATAAGTTATTGTGTCATTTTACGTCTTATTTATAAATTTTGCGTTATTTGTAAATTTTTTATGAATCATACATACTCCCCCTCCTCCTATGAGTAGCCATATACCCCTATGGGATATACGGCAAAAATGCAAGGATTTAAAAAAGTTCATTTTTTTGATACGAAATATAAATATTTCGGATTTCTAATATTTTTTTCATAATAGTAGACAGTCCAAAGTTTTTACTGATATAGTTCGTTTACTTTAAACATATAGTACTTAATAATAATACTTAATAAATTAAGTTTCTGATAGGGGCGGCGTATATACCGGAGTTACTCTAATCATAATTTTATTAAGCATCTCGTAATATAAACCTGTCGAATGATTATAAATATGTTACGCTTTTATTTATAAAAGCACGTTGTCACTTCATTAAGTGGAATAAAACAGTCGATTTGAACGATTACATTTTACATCTGATAAATTGATCAAAGGTAAAAGGTAGTAAAAGAAACATTTATTCAATTAGCGGGCAACGCAAGAAATAATAATTCGATATTGGTAGCGCGTATTTATTCCTATCGAATTCACGCAGAAACCACGTGTCTCTTATTTTAACGCAACTATTTTGTTGTCAAATATTTTCTTTTCAGTGAACGGGACGCGAAATAATTGTCATAAGCTTTTTTTTTTACAAAACAAGATATTCGCCTTTTCCGGTACTTTTTATGCCATTGTATTATGCCGTTTCAGAAAATATATTTCCGACAGCTTAAACAGTTAAAACGAGCTAATTCTAAATTTTATTGAATTAGCAGTCACAGAGTCGAAATAATTAGCGATTACGATCGCGTTAGTTAACAAAGGTACAACGCGTCGGTGGTTATTAATTATTAATTTAAACACCCGAGGGCGACTGTAATTACCGCGGTGGACCAATCATTTAAAGTGGTCGTTATCTCCGCCACGGTACATATTGTTTTTTGAATATTTAATTAAGCGACCTTCAACAGCTTGGTGCGGCTCACTGAATAACGGAGGGCCATTTCCCTTAACGAATGATTTAATTAATTTTACGGTTGATATAACAGAACTATTGTATAAAAAAAAAAGTTTTAATCTTGTAAGCAACTAAAATTATTCGAAATTACAGGAAAAGTCGATAAGCCGTTTGTCAGTAAAACAAAATCTCTATTTTACTAAATTGTAATAGAAAATATTTCAAATAAGGAAAATAATTGCGTATTTATTTATAAAGCTGAATTAATTAAACTATTTATAAATAGTCTAAAGATAATTTTTATCTATTTACATTTAAATATTATTGAACAAAGGAAATCTTGAACGATACCGTTCAACAAGTCAAAGGTTGATTCTCATAGATTTGAAAGTAAACAGGAGGCGGTTCGGTGAGGAGCAGAGAGATCAATGCACCTGGTGATAAAAGGTACGAAGTGAGATAAAAGGTCGCTTCTCGCGGTTTTCCTATCTAACCTGGTGGTTCTACCCGGGCAAGAGCTCCGCGGAAATGGAAATTTAAATATGCAAATGGCGAAACGTTCGGTTTAATAAGCTGCTCTTTCAGCGACTGTGAAATTCGCTTGCGAGGACTTTGTTTAATTATCACATTACCAAACTGCAAGGAGCATCTTTGTGTTTCTAGTATTTGATTTTGTATAAGTTGTTGTACCTAGATATCTCCGATTTTTCAACAATGTTTCACACAATATTACATTATTACTTATTTTCAATAGGATATATCTTAACCGTAGCTTTTTTATCTTTCAAATTTAATAAAAATAGAATTATATCTTTTACAATATACAGCAATAAAATCCATTTAATTTGTTTCCAAAACTC